CAGGGCCGCGGCCATCTCCGCGCTGTCCCCGGGCAGGGCACACTCACCGCGGGCAGGCGGAGGGCAGCTCGGCGCGGCCGACGGAGGAGGCGGAGCCGGGGCGGGAACTACCGGCGGCGGCAATGGCCGGCGGTGAATCGGGAGGTGCGGAAGAGCAGGCTGCTTCCCTCCCGCTCGGCGAAAGTGCGGGCGGGGAACGCGGCCGGCGTTTACCTGACGGCGGGACGAGCCCGGGGAGCGCTGACCCAGCCGCCGTCTGGGCGGCCCGGGCCGGGGGTTCGGCTAAAGCCAGAGCGCCCTTCGGCGGGGAAGGGGCCTGGGACGCTGAGGGCGAAGAGATTTAAGTTACGCCGGGGGCCTCCGGGGATTGTTTTCCTCGGCCTCTGCGGGGGACGGCAACCTTGAAATGCGGGCTTGCCCCCCCCCACCGGCGCCCGTTCACCTCCGGCTGCCGCAGCGCCGGGGCCCCGACAGCGGCAAAGACTCTCCCGACAGCGGCAAAAGCTCTCCCGACAGCGGTAAGCTCTCCCCCCGCCCCCCGGCTGTCCAGATCGTGCGGGCGAGGGCGGTCAGCTAACAAAATCTTTGTTGCAACCCACGCTGCGGGTTAAACTAAACGAAAGAGCGATTTTGGACTTGCTAATGAACGCTTTTTATATTTAACGTATATTCTCCTGAAACAGGTCCCATAAGGCAGAGGAGCCTGGCTGGGGTAGGATCGCTGTGGGTCTGGGGCTTTTTTTAAAAAGGCACGTCAGTTGGGAGCGGGGATTTTAGCTGCCGGTTTCATTGCACGCTCTCTGCTGACCAGGCAACAGAAACTTCATTAGGGTCGCATTTTTACGTATCTGTTTCATTTACGCTATAGAGAATATGACTAAATATATTCTACAGAGCAGGATGTACAGTAAGATTATTCACAACGTGAATATCCAACAGAGTGTTTGGTATTTAGAGATCTTCAGCAAAAATACATTAAGAATCTTGTTGGAACACAGCAAGATTTGTAATTCTGGAACTCGGTCAGGCCTTGCGAGTGCCGGTGCCTCTGCTCAGTTTCCCAGGCCGCAGCCGAGTGTCCGCGCCTTGCGGCATTTGCAGCACCGGGGTTGTTCTTCTGTATCCTTTAAATTGAAGGGTAACTGAAAAACAGATGACTTCTGAAATCAATGTATGTGTTAATGAACTGGTACATTAGATTCATTTTTGATAAAGTTCTAAGACGCGTTTTACACAACTAACTCAAGTTCACGTTTGTGTTTTCAGAGGAAGAAAGAAAAATGTCACAAAAACATCTGAAAGAAGCCTTTATCAGCAACTTAAATGGAACTAGTTTGCTGGAAATTTCAGTAGGCTTGTCTCTAGCTCCACTCTGCCTGCTTTGCAGAGGACTCCTCTTGATTTTATATTACCTGCGCTATGGGAAACCTTTAAGTTCGAGGAAATACAGCCTGCTGCTAGACTTCCTTGTGCTCGTATCTCCCCTCCTGTTCTCCTGTACAGTCTTGTCTCCAGTCATCTTTTTCGTGCCACCTGTCATTGCAGCCTTCTGTGCCGGAATATTTTCTATAATATACAGCCAAAGAAAACAGGAGACCAGAGTCCCTTTTAGGCAAATTGTAAAAGACTTCCAGAAGACGTACTTGGATCCAGAATACATTCCAGCAATAACGGTGTTTCGTGTTTATGTCAATGTGTTGACATCAATCAGCATTTTAGCAGTGGATTTCCCACAGTATCCAAGGCGATACGCCAAAGCTGAGACCTACGGAACAGGAGTTATGGATTTGGGGGTTGGTGCTTTTATTTTTGGTAATGCTGTCGTCTGTCCTGAAGTTAGACAAAGGTCTTACATGACACAACCAAAATTTTCCCATCTGGCCAGACAGTTCTTTTCCGTTTGGCCATTGATTGTTCTTGGCATTGGACGACTGCTTAGTGTTAAATCTATAGAGTATCATGAACATACTTCAGAGTACGGAGTGCACTGGAATTTTTTCTTTACCTTAGCATTTGTGAGGCTTGCAGCATCTCTACTTTTAGCCATATTTCCAAAAAATAATTCTTGGATTGTTGCTATAAATCTTGCTGTACTTTATCAGCTTATTCTTAACACTACCTCTCTGAAGACATTTATCTTGCATGGGAGTGACGGCAGAGATACCAGGGTTGGCGTTTTAAATGCCAACAGGGAAGGACTGCTCTCTCTTTTTGGATATCTAGCCATATATATGGCGAGCGTCCAAGTGGGACTCTGGCTGCTGAAGTGCAGAAACTCAGTCAAAGGCTGGATTGAAGCAGTGTGTTTCTTACTGCTGACAGTTCTCGTGCTTTTTGTATTTCTTCATGTGTTGCAAGCATATGCGGACCCTGTGTCCCGCCGGATGGCTAATCTATCCTACTGCATATGGGTGGTTGCTCACTGTCTGACTTTCTTTATCTGTTTTGTAGTGAGTGATCTCACGTTGGTGTTCACAAAGCTTCTTGTGAAGGGGTCCAGCGTGCCCTGTTGCTGGAACATTGTAAAGCCCCCTAATGCCAGTAAAAAGCATGAAATGGAGGCCATGCCTATGCGAAGGGAAGGCAAGCTGTCACACATTTGCCTGATTAGTGCTATTAACAAAAATCAATTACTTTTTTTCTTGCTAGCAAATGTTATGACTGGTATTGTGAATATACTGATAGATACAATCCACAGCAAGACTGCGTTTACGTTATGTATACTACACTTGTATATGTTTTTTAACTGTTTAATTATGCATATATTGCATGCCAAAAATATAGTATTAAAGTTTTGGTGATTCCACTCTGTCTTAAGTGGACTAGTTGAATTTTGTTTGCTGTAGCTGAATGACGGTGTTTTATTGGAAAAAATAGTATTTTTCCTGTATGTATTGCAATAATTTGTAACTTATTATAGCTTTTTATGATTTAGTGTTGATTATTTTTTTAATGGTTTGTTTTACCAAATTATACAGTCAGTGCTGTTACCTGTTGGAGTTGTTACACATTTTCCTGAAAACTTAGTTTTTGAGATTGTTTGCTGAATACTCCTGTTGCTCCTATAAACACTCATGCAGAAGAGTAATATTGTATTTACAGTTAGTGAACTGTGTTCATACCCAACTGCTGGAAGAATTAGATAACAATGTATAGAGTAGAAGCCAGATGAAAAATAAGAAAATGAGGACGTAGTTAGAGAGAGACTTAGCTGTGTCAAGATTTACCTAGTTAAGGCCCTTGCATAAATAATAGATAAGAATAATTCTTTATATAAAATGTATTGAATAAGTGGATACTTAAAAATGTTTTGGCCCCAGTCCTGCAAAGATTTATGCATAAGCTTGACTTTGATGGTGGTAATTGTGTGTGGAATGTTAATCATACACTGAAATCTAAATTAGCCCTTGAATTAAAGCTAAATTTTATTTTCATCCTCACTGATGAATATAAATGAAGACCCTAGATAAAGTGTGATGCTCTGAAGGATAAAACTCAACTGCAGATGAATTCATAAAGCAGTTGTTGGAATTTATGGTGCAGATAATGAGCAGCACAGCCTTTTATAAGAAAATACAAAGGTCCAAAACTAATTCACCCCCAACCTGCATACCAACATGTTGTGACAGCTCGTCTTCAGCTCTACTTTGAAAGTACTCAAGGCCCACCTACTTGTCTATAAAATTATTTTAAACAGCAGCTCATTTAGTACTGTATTTTGACAGCTGAGATGTCTTCAAGTGGGAACGTTCTGTATTAATTTTTATTAGCAAACAAACAGTGTGCAAGTGGAAAGAAGCATGATGCAGTGGGTCAGGGTACCGGCAGAGTATTGACAAGAGATGTGCTCAGTTTCTCTATCACAGTCTTCCTGCAAGCCCAGAGCAGAACACCCTCTTGTTCACTTTCTTAACTACGACAGTTTTTCCTGACCTCATTAAGTTGTTGAGAAAAGAAACACATTTAACAATTGTGAGGAGTTCAATAATGGGAGATATAAATACATAAGTAGTAGAATACAAATGGTAATTGATTAGATAGATGTCTAACGTTAGTGGAGTTACAGCAGTGCACATGGGCCATATTTCATATTTCTCCTTGTCTGTCAAAGGTGATGAATCATAAAACCTATGGACATAAAGCCTCTAAATCAGATTCCTTAAGACAGACATGCTGTGGAATATTCTTAAATTTATGAGGTTCTCTTAGCCACTGGCCAATGGAAAGGGGAAGTCCGAGGATTATAGGCTGTGGCCATGCTGATTTCATGCTTGTTTACTTCCAAGTTATAGCCATATAGTCTTTAGAATTAAAGAAAAACAGCCTGTATTATCCTGGGGACAAATGTAATTAATTGGCAACAATGTCTTGTAAACAGATGTCACAGTTTACAGCAGAGTTTTCTGGTAACTGGTGTATGTATTTATTTTAAAACGCTTCCTAGCCTTGCCTAGGGAAGAAGGGCCTCTATCATGAACTGAATGGCACTACTCATTTATGCAAAATTACTCATGGATATTAATTTTTGAAATATTTGAAGCACAAGACCTGCAATGAGTTCTGCCTGTGAGCACAAGTCTATCAATGTGATTCAGAATTAAGGCATTAATTGGGCGTGACAAAGCAGAGTTGTGTCTGGACAAGCAGCAAACTATCGAGATGCCAACTCCATTTTGTGAAGCAAAAAATTACGTGGGAGTTCTGCTGTGTCTGTGCAGAGCCCTGGTAGCTCTGCGCAGGCAGCAGGCTGGCGGGTACCAATTCCAGGACTGGAGCTGCGGTTTGCAACAACAGAGACAGCAAACCAAGGGGACTGTGGTGCACAAGTAACGATGAGAGCGACAACAACCTGCTTCTCTCAACAACGGCACAGCACCGCATCGTGAGGCCGTCTCTTGCTTTTAAAGCCATATGAAGTAAGTTGTTCACCACTGAATGGGAGACAATTAATTCTCATTGCTTATTGTCGATAACAAATGCGGCAAGCTCTGCCCTGAAGCAACCAGCATAGTTATTAATGCTGAATGTTTAAACTATGAATAGATACAGATAATTAACCATGCCTCTGAAAGAACCAAGAAACACAAGCAAGCATTCTTTGATCACAGAGTCTGTACAAGCAAACGGCGCTGTAATGAGTTTGAAAAGATGCGAGAGAAGTTAACACTACGATACTGCTGTAGAGACTTTTCTCCACACGCACCTCAATAGCTGTTAGCTCAGTGATTGGTAGGAACACAAACACTGCATTTCATTTCACTTTGGGGTGTATGTAGATGAGTAAGCTTGTACAGAACAAAGATATATTTTAAAAAAACAGAAACTTTGATTTAGCTGTTACATAGTAAAAGTTAAACATATTTCAACTAGTAAGACTAAAATGGTTCAACTGTAGCAGGCCACCGACTTCAATAATAACAGCAAAGTGGAAGACTGGGAAAACGTAAATTGTTTTGTCTTTGCTGCCATAATTCCTTGGAATGACCTTTTTGTAGGGCTGCAGGATAGAAAAAATATGGTGGGAGAGCAGAGCTGGTTGCACTTAACCTTGTTTGTTAAACGTTAGTAGCTTCTTACCAAATTTCATTATTTTTAAGGTCAACTCACTACCATGCCTTCCTTTCCAACCCAGTAGTGTCTCTTTTGAAGTCAAATGTTACAACAAAGATCTCAGGATCCTATTTCAAAGCCACTGTGTCCTAAAGAACAGGTATTTCTTCCAGGCAAAAGAGGGGTATGCAAATGGAGGGGCTGTCTGTCTTTTCACTGTTTTGTAGATAACAAGCAAGCTGTATGTTCTAGCAACTTAAAAATAAAACCCTTCCCGTGGGTAAAAATGACATGAAATGTCACGGTGCTTTTCATACGTAGTTTATCAATGTGCACCCTGAGAATACAAAATTTGGGGCGTTGCCATTTCGTCGATGTGATCCAACCACGGTCTGGGAGCGGAGGGGCAGAAGTGACACAGGAGCCCGCACACTGAATGGACCCTGCGAAGACAACCTATGCTGGGTGCAGTTCGGTGTGCTCACGACGCTTTAGTGTGAGAAACCATCCCTTGTTGCAAAATGCCAGCTTTCTTTTTTGCTGAAGAAGAAGAGCATGGAAATACACAAACTGCAAACTGTACAGCGATTTGGCTCTGCACAATGTTTCCGTTAGAGATGTTGCATGATGAGTTTGAGTAAATTAACTCCTCCACTAAAGATGGTTTTTATGCAGAAACAAGAAAAAAAAAATCCTGCTCCCTAATTGTCTCCCCTGCGTTTTCTTTTGAGGACTTTAGCATCTATGTACATAAATAACAAGAACGAACAGATCAGCTGTATTATTTATTAGTTCAAGAAAGGCTGTGGGGGGTTTTTTGGCTGCCTAAATTAAGCAGCCGCAGGATTTCTAGCTGGTTGCACTAGGGTGCTGCAGAAGCCAACAGCCTGAAGTTAAGAGACCGTAAGTGCAATTAAAGCCTGCCTTACCTGGCCTGTAATCAGGGCAGGGAAATCTTGAGGCTGCCCTTTGATGTTTGGGCTGCGTCTGAGGGCGCAGGCGTTCGATGCGTTTTTGTCAGCTCACCCTCCCCGTGGGTCCGCAGCAAAACCTGCGCCCAGGCCCCTTCCACACACGGGTCCCCGATACGCTCCGGCCCTGTCCCACTCGAGACAGCGACGGGTTTTCATCCCGCCAACACTTTGGGGTTTAACCCCACCGGCTCCCCTTCACCCCTCCTCCTTCCCGCCAATTTCACCTCAGCGGGAGCCGCCTGCAAACCGCTCTGAGGCACCACGGACATGGCGCTTTATGCGGGCCGAGGGTCCTGTCACCGCGTCCCTCAGCGAGAAAGCGGGGCGGCAGCGATCGCCTCACGGGAGGGGAAAAGCCCGAGGAGACCCCGCGCCCGACTCCCCCCCCCGCCCTCCGCCCCCGGGGGGCCAAGCCTCTAACGTTCCCCCGGGCTCCCCTACCTCAGCCTCCCGCCTCGCAGGTCGAACGTCGTTTGTGACAGGAGCCGCCCAAGCAGCTCTTCGGGGCTGCCGGGCTCGGGGGGCGGGAGGTAACGGAGGGGAGCGGGCGCCTCCTACGGCCAAGCCCGGGGGCGACGGGGCGTTGTGAAACGGCGGGGGCTGCGGTCTCTCGCGAGAGGAAGGCGGGGCGGCCCGGGGCCGGGGCCACCGCCTGTGGGGAGGGCTCCGGGGAGGTGGGGGGAGAGGAAGGAGGCGGCTCTGTGGCGGAGCTCGGGGTGTCCGCCCGCCTGTCAGAGCGCCCGGGCCGCCGACTCGCGGAGGAGCCGGTAAAGGCCCCGGGGGGTGGGGGGGGTGTGTGTGTGTGAGGCGGCCGGTGGGCCGCAGGTACAAGGCAGCGGCCCCGGCGGGGCTTTGAGGGGAGGCGGGAGGAGAAGGGGAG